ACTCGTAGTGCATTAGACTCATAGTACATTAGACTCATAGTACATTAGACTCAGTGCATTAGACTCATAGTACATTAGACTCATAGTACATTAGACTCATAGTGCATTAGACTCATAGTGCATTAGACTCGTAGTACATTAGACTCATAGTAAATTAGACTCATAGTACATTAGACTCATAGTACATTAGACTCATAGTACATTAGACTCATAGTGCATTAGACTCATAGTACATTAGACTCATAGTGCATTAGACTCATAGTACATTAGACTCATAGTAAATTAGACTCATAGTACATTAGACTCATAGTACATTAGACTCATAGTACATTAGACTCATAGTGCATTAGACTCATAGTACATTAGACTCATAGTACATTAGACTCATAGTGCATTAGACTCATAGTACATTAGACTCATAGTACATTAGACTCATAGTGCATGTGAAAGAATACCTTAGTTATATAAGGAATGTTACAGGTAAATGTCAAAGAGGAAATACCTGAAGATAGAGTAGATTTGCCTAAAAAAGTAATAATGAACTGAATGGGATGCCTGTGACCTGATGTTTTAATTGAAGGTCATGTTTTGCTAATCCTTCTGCTGGTTTGAGCTTTCTTTGGCAACTGTGCTTTTAATCAAGTGTTGGTTGGACAAGTTGGAACTAATATTCTGTTTACTATTGGATAATTAATAAAAAAAATACAGAAATAAGAAAAAGGTTACCTCCAGTAAAATCACCTGATGATCACCACCTTTCATAATAACTATGCACCATTGTGAGAACCATGAAAAACTGCATTCAGTTTTTATTCCCTCACAGCAAGCAGAAGGGACATATTGAATAGGTAATGTCTGTCCATTTGTCATGAGATGCTGGAAAATTGCAAGGTCAGCATGAAATAATGAAAGGTAAATAAAGATTTAGTTTATGGGCAACTTGAACTTTACCACAAAACATGTATTACAATAGTGTTTTTAAAATTATGATTAAGAAGGGTGATCAGTTGAAAATTTTTCTAAGTTTCCCCAAGACTTGATGTACGTAAAAAAATTATCATTTCATGTCCCAAATTTATGAGTAATAAAAAAAATTAGATTTGAAAATAATTATAGGTGTCCCAAGACTTAATGTATTGCTTCAGAACTTAATAACATTATGGTAAACATTTCTTGTCTTGAAATTTAATTTTGTTAAATATATTGGACATCGGCATTTTGTTTGCAGTGAGGGCTACAAATGTAGCACACATTGAAATTTCAATTACCCAACATAAAATGTATTTGCCACAATGAATTTCAGTTGCCCAACATAAAAGGTATTTGCCACATAACCCATTTGTCAGACATATCCTCAAAGAGTATCATATTTTTCTAAATTATAAAATTTGATTTCTTTATAATAAATGTAATTTATTGTTCCAGAACTAATCTGATAGACTTTTGTGCCCCCTTTTACATGTGATTCAATGATTTATTGAAACAGTTATTGACAAAAGAATAATATTCAGTTGCCATCTTCTTACAATTCTCCCAAGAGTGGTCTCCCATGATAAGACACTCTTCTTGTGCATTGAATAGATTTGTTTAGTTGCCCTTTCATTGCAGAAAGGTTAAATTAATGAATAAAAAAAAAAGAATCTTGCAGTCATGTGTCTCTATAATGCTTGCATGTTTTCTGCCTCCAGTCCCAATTAATGAATCTCAGAGAATGAGGTAGCACATGAAAATTTCACACTGTTAATTTTCACAGAAGCATAACAATTTTTTAATATTATATTAACAAATCTCTATCATCTAAGCGCATCTATGGGAACTACCATAATCAAATGCTTTCTATATGACCTTTTATCGCAAGATGCTTTCATTGATTAATTGTTAGTAGTAGTATTTTTTTACTATACACATAAAATCTTCATCCCAGTGATATTTTCCTTTAGTGTGAAAATCCTGGAAAAAGGACCACAATTTTTAATCATTCCATTTTGGATGATTTGTACTGACAACAATATTAATTGTGACTAAATTATGCTTGTGTCAGCATACATCATTTTTATTCTTTATACTTAGTGAAATTGCTTTTGTTAGAAAGTAAATAAAGTTGGGCTTTTTTCACCCCCAGATTTGTTCACATTAGATTAGTGAATTGAAGAGTACTCTGTGTATTATCAAAATATGTTGTTTGAATCAAGGCATTATTTACCTGTTAAGTTGATTACAGGTAAAACAAGAAGCTTCCTATCAGCCCCAAGAGTGACAGATTAACATGGGGAGGTTTGCTGTAAATGAGCATCTTAACTTATTTTCATTGTGTAAAGTACATGAAAACTATTTTTTGGTTAGTAAAGATTACCTGCCATTTGTGAAATATATAGAGTAGACTTATTTTTAATAAAATTTATAACAACAAATTGTTTGATAAAACAAAGGATTTTAAAGACCCTAAATATTTCATTTTTCAATACAGAAACATTATGCTGATAAAAATAGTTCTCAAACAATGAACTGTCAAAATTCCTCCAGAAAATTATGTCCCACTGACAACTTAGTTTGTGAACAACTAATATTTATTTAAATATTTCTTAAAGTGTTCATTTGTTTGATGTATGTGGGGTTAACTGTATTCATAAAATGTAATCTGGCACTGTAAAGAGTGTCTGACTTTGATAATAACCTGTATAGCATACCAGTAGATGCTTTCATGTAACAGCATTATTGTCAGGTGCTTTGTTGCCAGTGAGAAATTTTTGCAGGTTTTAAATCCTTTTATTTCAGGGCAGATTGAATGTATTGGAGAAGTAGTTCAAAGTTGCAGTGTCCAGTTGATTGAGATTTTTGTGCAAGTAAGTGAGTTATGTTTTCCTTTGTTTTTTTCTTGGTAATGTGGTAATTTTGATTGAACACTTTCCCATAATTGATTTTTCTGTATCAGCTCAATGCTTTTCATACTGAAGGCCAATCATACAGGCATTTGTGTAGAAGCTGAAATTTGTTCACTCATGTATTAGCATGAGAGAATGCATTGATATTGTCAGTCTGGTTTTACAGGACAAGTTTATAATTCTTCAGAATTATATGTCGTTTTAAAAAGCATGAAATTTTTTTTAAAGTCATTATTTTTTATTCAGATGTTCAAAGACAAGTAAGGTAAATTAAAAAATGCTTCATATTTTTTGATAACTTGCTTTCAGTGCAACTTCAGTAATAATTTTACCCCTTCCCATGAAATGGGGGAATTTTATGCCGTTGAAAGGTGGTGAAAAAATAAATAAAATCCTTTAAGGTTATTATAATTTTTGTTAATTTACATGCTTGAAAATTGAAGAGAGAGCAGAACAGCTCCAATTTTGGAAAGTTGACAAAGTTCTTCATTTGTTTTTAGTATTTTTATTATGTAATAAATACTAAAGTAAATACATCAGAGATTTGTTGGGTTTGTTTAGTTCATTTCCATAATATTCAGATGACAAACATTGGTATGTGGTTAAACTATGTGCAGTGAACAACTCAAAATACGCAGTCAGCATGAGAAGCTTGAAATTCTTTATCATCATAAAAAAAATAGCAATTAACTAGTCATCTTGTTCATTCAATGTAGTCATGATCTCCTATGTATCAAATTTCCTGATATTGTCATCAATCCACATGCGGCCATCACTTGCCATTCAGTACTGTCTGCTATTTAATCTCTGCATCTTAAAATTCAGTTTTGAAATCAAAGTTTCTATTTGACAGTTGTCATAATTTCTGTCAATTTTATTGATGTTAGGATCACAATCTGCACTGTCTAAAACTTCAATTTTCTGCACAAAATTTTACGTTTTTTTTCCACCAAAATTGGCATCCACATTACTGCCATCATTTGCTGTTTCAGAGCTGTCTGCCATGTTGATCTCTGCACATTAAAACTTGTGTTTGAAATAAAATTTTCATATAACCAGTTATAAACCCTTTTCATTTTGATGAGGTAAAGATAATGACTTCACTGCCAAAGATTTCCACACAACAATTGTCTATTTTCTACTAATTCAGCAAGTAGATCACTGCTATTATTTGCTTCTTCAGTACTGACCATTATTTTGATCCCTGTACTTTTTAATAAAATTTTTATTTGTATTTTTTTAAAACTCCTGCCATTGCATGTTCCTTCATTTAGCGAGTACATTTGAAATAATGACATATTACTTGGTGAAATGAACACTTCAGCAATGGGTGGGATGAATGTGGTAAATATATGTGGTAAATATATGTAGTAAATATATGTGGTAAATATATGTGGTAAATATATGTGGTAAATATATGTGGTAAATATATGTAGTAAATATATGTGGTAAATATATGTAGTAAATATATGTGGTAAATATATGTGGTAAATATATGTAGTAAATATATGTAGTAAATATATGTAGTAAATATATGTGGTAAATATATGTAGTAAATATATGTAGTAAATATATGTGGTAAATATATGTGGTAAATATATGTAGTAAATATATGTGGTAAATATATGTAGTAAATATATGTGGTAAATATATGTGGTAAATATATGTAGTAAATATATGTGGTAAATATATGTAGTAAATATATGTGGTAAATATATGTAGTAAATATATGTGGTAAATATATGTAGTAAATATATGTAGTAAATATATGTGGTAAATATATGTGGTAAATATATGTAGTAAATATATGTGGTAAATATATGTGGTAAATATATGTAGTAAATATATGTAGTAAATATATGTGGTAAATATATGTAGTAAATATATGTGGTAAATATATGTAGTAAATATATGTAGTAAATATATGTGGTAAATATATGTAGTAAATATATGTGGTAAATATATGTGGTAAATATATGTGGTAAATATATGTAGTAAATATATGTGGTAAATATATGACCCAAACCATATGCCATATGAAAAGGAAGAGTGACACTGGAACTGCATCCTCTCTGAATGGTTTTGATTTATACAGTTTATAGCCTTAGTGGGCATACTGCTCTGGTGGCTTAGTGGTTAGAGCATCCGCCTCAAATGTGGGAGGTCATGGGTTCGAATCCTGGCAGAGTCATAGCAGAGACTTTAAAAAATAGTACTAACAGCTGCCTTGCTTGGGGCTTAGTATTAAGAGGTTAATGTTAGGACTGGTTGACCTGGTGTCAGGATAATGTGACTGGGTGGGACATCATGCTACATGGCTGCAGCATGATGCCCCAGTGCTAGACACCACTATAAACTGTCACATTGCAGACAACTAGCATATGACTGAAAAATTATTAAAGCTATGTTCAAAATCTAAATCAATCACACACACAAACACACACACACACCTTAGTATGCATACATTGTTATGTATTTTTTATTCAATTGTTTGTTAGTTATATTTTAATTTTTTTTATTACATGCTATTGCAGTGTAACATTGTATGTTGAACTTAACCTTGTCCAAAATTGAGTTCATTTTTGCTCTACCAAAATTGACCTTTTTTTTAATTCATTATAAGCAACTTATACATAGCTAAATTATTCTCAGTGTGTAGGTTTAAAATCATTATTAATCAAAGAAGATGTTTATTTGTGTCTAAGTTTTGGAATTTCTTAAGTGAATTATGCATAATCTCGCTTATTGTTTTGCAAATATCAGGATCATTTTAGAAGGTTGTTTTCCATTAAGTAATGTTTTTTTTTCGAAAATGCTAATTGTGATATGAGGTCAAGAAGTTAATTGTAACTGTAAGGACTTGGTTATTTGTGCTTTAAGTTTTTGGATAATCAAGTTGTATGTTGTTGAGTTCAGTATTTTTTATTTCTGGCTGGAATATTTTTTTTCAAATTATTGAATTCAAGTAATTATCTTCTTTGAAAAAAAAAAGTGCTCTGATAAAATTCTTGGATAGAGACATTTGCTGGAATGTATACTGAATTCAAACCTGGAATTATATTACATTGATTCAACAAAAGACTTGACACATCAACACTTTAATAGCTATCACAGACAAATCATCAACTTCAGTTTTGGGATTTATTCTGAACTTTTACTGAATTTTATTCAGAACTTTAAATTAGGACTTGTGTTGGTAATTTTTGGATTATTTTGGGATTTAATTCATAATATCATAAGTTCTTTTTTCTTATTTTCACTTCATATCCTAGGAAATAAATTATTTGTTAATTTTACAAAACTTGTTCTTATTCACTCTTTTACTGTTACCTATTTTAAGCGCAAAGACTTGTAACAACATCTTCTTCATGATATGGTATCAAAATCCTAGCTATGTAGTGCTGACTAAATGTAATGTTTCAAAAATGCCAAGATAACAAATGCAAAACAGTTGGGAAATGGAAGGAGCTATTTCTATCCAGGTTAACTAAAAATTGCCATTTTTCAAACATTTTGTACAGAGATAAGGTAGCACTGATGAAACCTACATGGACAGAAAGCTTGTTTTCAGCTCTTTTGTACATTTTAAAATATTTTCTGAAGATTGAAAGAATTACTTTGTTTTTTTTTATTGACTTTATAATCAACAGAATCAGTGGATGACAATTACATTCTCTGACATGTCAATATCACCCTTGGAAAGAATTGATTTTTCATGGAGAGGAGTTGGAATGTGCAGTTTTGAGCATCTAAGTTGTTGTTGCCAGGATTGGGTGGGTGGATAAAGTTTGCTTTATTGCTTGAATTCTGTCCAAATCAGCCCAGGTAGCATGTTATGGTATGTCTTTATGGGTTCTTGGCTCCTGTTGCCAATGCACTTGTCATTCCTGTGTTAAAAGCTTGACAGCTGTCATTTGTTTACTTTAATAATTATTTTGGTTATTTTTTTTCTTTCAGTTATTTATTTATTAACTTGTTCATTCATTTTGTTTCTATACTTTGGCCCTTATATATTGACCAGGGCTCTGGGTGGGAGAGTGGTCTAAAGCACTTTTACCTTTACCAGTCACTGCCAATTCCCACCTCTTTCCATATGGGGTTGAGTCATAGGTCAGTCCAAAGTGGGTATGTGAGAAAAGAGCATCACATAGGTCAGTGCTTCTTACCAAGGTTTTCCTGACCAGTAAAACTGCATTGTTTGTTGAAAAAAATGGCATTCAGTAATGGGGTATGGTTGTTGTTGTTGGGCTTAATGCCATTTTTCAGCACACGATAGGCTATTCATGGCAGCCAGTATTAATGGTGGAGGAAGAAACTGGGAAATCACCGGAAAGAACCACCGACCCACAAGAAGCTACTGGCAAGCTTTCTCACATATCCACATTCGCTGAATCCTAGACTCGAACCCATGCAGACAGAGGTGAGATGGCAGTGATCCGTAACGGACAGCGCTTTAGACCACTCGGGGTGGCCACTCGGCCACTCAGTGCCCCTAATATGGTATGGTTTATACACAGTAAGTATTGTCAATTAAAAAATTGCATCAAAAAAAGATTAAGAGGACTCTAGATTTTAGGATCAAAAGGTCAAAGGTAATCATAACTGACTGAAAGAAGAAAAATAGTTTCTATACAATGACTTGATTTCAACACCATTTACATTTACCAAACTTCTGTTAATGTCTTGCACTTGGGTTGGGAAAATATTGTACGATTTTGAAATTAAAAAAAAGTCAGAGGTCAAGGTTACTGAATAAAAATAGTTTCTGATTAATAAAATCATTTCTACATCACATACCTCAAACTTTTTTTAATGGTTTGTAAATTAGGTAAGAAAATGAACTATTAATTTTGAGGTGAAATGGTCTGGTTTCCACATTGAATTCTATATCACAGATCTGAAACAATCATTGTGGATGGCTTACTCTTGGTAAAAGAAAAGCCTAGACATTTTGGGGTCAAAAGGTCAAGGTCACTGATCTTTGGTTATTCGGAAGAGAGGACAGTTAAGCATGAGACAGCCATATAATGTGCCTTTTACAGTACATTTGATTATTGCTCCAGTTGCTTAATGGTTTGAGCATCTACTTTGGATGCGAGAGGTTGTGGGTTCAAACCCAAGTCGAGTCATACCAAATACTTATGAAAATGGTACTAGCAGCTGCTTCACTAGGTGCTCAGCACAAAGAGATTACTGCTAGGACTGGTCATCCTGGTTTTGGAATAATGTGACTGGGTAGGACATGATACTACATGTCTGTGGCATGATGCCCCAGTACTAGACATCACTATAATCTGCCACATTCCTGAAATCTCAGTGATATGACTGAAATTTGTTTAAAGCTATCACACACACACACTCACACACACACATTTATTTGTTATCCTCCTTTCCTGACTCCTTTAATTTCCCATAGGGACCTGATCAAATTGTGACTTCTGTGTGCATATATAGAACAGGCAATCATATCCTTGTGTTCTAAATTTTGTTTGAGGTGTTGTATGACATCATGTATATGATTTATAGTCATTCATGATTTATAGTCCTTCATATTCATCAGTACCTGATAGGAAAATTTCATATATGAAGTGTCTGATACCAAATTTTGAGTTTTAAGGATGGTATTTTTTTTAATCCATCACTGATGCATAAGGAAGAATTATTTTCTTACAGATATCTGAATGGAAATTACAGGTAAAAATGAAAATGTTACAGTGCTATGACTTGTCCGAGAGTATGTAGATTTTATGTGTATAGACATGGTAGTGCATTTAGTTGGACAATTCATTTATTAACAATCAATCAGCCATGTTCATTCAGAAATTAAAAGTAAATAGGAGTTGTACTTTGAAGGATGACAGTTCAGCATTAGTACCAAGTGCAGTACACATCATTAGTGCATACTTCCATGGGAAAATTAGATGAACATATTTGTATTAATTGTTGATTGGTAAAACATTTTCTCACCTCATTGCCCAGTGCCAGTGTCATCAATTGTTGATTTTACACTGAAGAGCCAAGTTGTTAAACACTGTGAAATTACAATCAATAAAGGACATGCATCATTGAATTCAAGCTATCTTCATTAATAATGAGTCACAGAGTCAAGGAAATGGAGCAGGAATACACATAGCAATCTGTCATTAGGTGCTTGGTTTTCTCTTTTGTATGGAAAGATCATGTTTTTTGAAGTTGTATATTCTTCCCTTTGAAAGAGGATCACAAAATTACTTTTCATGTTAGACAGTGCATGTGATAATGGATTTCAAGTGGACAAGTTTGTCTATTACAGTCCTGTTCCCATGACCTGGTAGGTGAGTCTTTTTGATCATCTGTGGGGAAAAAGTCTTTGGGTAAATTCAGGATAAAGATATATTCATTTGACTCAACTTTTGCCTGTGTAACACTAAGCCATTTTGGAGTACAGCTTGGTTGAGGACATACGCTTCTAACTTTGAAACCATATATGTTATCAGACTAATGCTGAACTGTCAGAGTAATCTCCCATCCTTCAAAGTATCAGATGTTTTGAGACTTGTAAGAGAATGAATAAAATGAATCTGAAAAAAGATTGGATGAACAAACATGATCCTTCTATTATTATCTTCTTTAGTCATGCAAATGTCCTACACTTGGTGCATGAAAATTCATAAAACTCTTTACTTGAAACATAAAAAAAATTCTATGCTGAAGACGTTCATAAATACTTTACATGGTGACAGATATTGCTTGAATGAAGTGGACTGTGAATGGACTGATCTCATTCCTTCACTGAATCAATGTCCGATGCTCTTTCAGAAGTGTTTTATTTAGTTGGTAGCCATCTTGAAAATCTTGTTATTGCTTAACTCTATCCTTATGGATAGAGTTTTCTTTAGAGTTCTTTGGTTCTGTTTTAATTTAGGACAAATTAAATGTCATGATAATCTGACTCCAAATATGGCTGCCGGTATGAACATATTAAACATGTAACTAATTCTTTCGAATGGATGATCATATTGAAATTTGGTTTTAATTTAAAAAATTTAATTTAATTTTTAAAAAACTTAAAATAGTGTCTAGTTTTTCATGAATGAATGTGGAGATCTCACATCCAATTTCAACACTGCAGTTAAAATGAAGTGGCCCTAATTTGAATTCCAACTTTTTTTTTTAAGGGCCATAATTAAGTCCCTATCTTATTGAGAAATCTTTAA